TGGCATTTGATATCAGCAGTGTACATTAAACATGTATTCTAATATTAGTGTCATTAATACATTATCCTAATATGAAATCAAGAGATCAGACGAATTCTAGGAAAAAAAGCGTCAAAGAACAACAAATAAAGTGGTATGGACACCTAACAAGAATGCCCTGGTACTATCTGCCACAGCGAGCCACACTGAAACGTTACAACGGGTATAGAGTGAGTGAAAGACCTTGGAAAAGATGGGTTGATAGCATCAAGAACAGCTTTACAGAAATGAACTTCAGTCTTAATAGTGCTCTCGACAGAGCTCATCAACGAATGTTACATCTCCTTCGACACTTTGATCAGGTACAAAGTGGAAGAAGAAGAAGAAGAAGAAGAATACATTATCCATGTTTAGGTGGTCAGCTACTCTTCACAGTGGCTGTCTTACAAAAAAAAAAAACCTACTGAAATGAAACTAAACTTTCACCTTTAATGCTTTTCAACATTTAATCTAATATGTGGCTTAGAGGTTAGTGAATGCTTTTAACAGTTTCATGATCCTCAAGTACTAGGTTTGGACTTCCACAGCTGATTGTTTGCTTAAAAAAGAAATACTAGTGGCTTTTGGATAGGGGTATGAGGGTCGCACAGTGGAAGAGATTAGGGAGTCATCATGTAATACTGCCAAAGATAGCAATGGGAACACTGTTGCCAACCTGCGTTGTAGAGATAGCACACACATTTGAATTTTCATAATTTATAAATCTGATGAACTAATAAATTCCTTGGAGTGTAAGAATAAATTATGTTTACCCTATCTGAAATCATATTCAATTAATGTTTAAAAAAAAACAGATTTAAAGCCAAGATGTTAAGTATCATAATAATATCTCATCATCATGTACCAGGTCCTTTGCAGAATGTCGCTCTCATCACAGTCTGCCTGTAAGAAACTCGGTCTCTTGCCAGTTCTTCCGCCTCATGAACTTTCACACTCAAGGAGTCACTTATATCCTGTGCCCATCTTTGTGTCGGTCGGCCTCTGCCCCTCCTTCCTGGTACCATGCCTTCTGCTATAATTTTGTCCAATCCGTCGTGGCGCTTCATATGACCAAAATATTTCAGCTTTTGAGAAAGGGTGCTGTTTATTAGCCAATCTTCCTTGATGTTCAGATCTTTTAAGATGTCAATATTTTTCATCTTCTTTGTCCAAGATATTCTGAGAATCTTTCTATTGCATTTCAGCTCAAAAGCCCCTATTCTCTTTCTTAAGGACTGAGAGATAGTCCACGACTCACATCCATATGTAGCCACAAGGAAGATGCATGCTCTCAAAATTCTAATTTTTATCTCCTTGCTGGTGCTTAACCATAGACTTTTAAGGCTATTCAATCTTTGCATTGCTATGGCCATCCTCCGTTTAATTTCTGTCTAGTAGTAATATCTAGCAGCACTAAATTAAATATTTAACAGTGGCAGAATTCACATTTGAAAAACTTCTGAACAACATAATGGTTTAAAAAAAAACAACAACCTGCAAAACAGACAACTATAAAGACAATGGACATAATCAATTTTCTTGTCATAATTACTGATTTCATAAATGTTTAAGTGTAGTAAGGATCTTATGTGAATATTATGCCTTTTTTGTAAAACAAATTTGTTTTTCATTATTTATCTGCTTTTCTTCTTGTGTATATATAATACATACATTGTATGCTCACTTTTATCTTTTATTTCTAAGTAGCTACAACTTTATACATTACATTGTTGTTTTCTTTTGTCAATATTTACTGTTAAGCTGTCACAGCATGTATGCTTGAAAACAACTAACTTACAATAAGCATGTCAGATTATGTGAAGAATAAATACAGTTTTGTGACCATTTTCAGTGTGTCACCTGACAATGTATTTTATAATTGTTTTAAATATTTTAGTAAAGAGACAATTATTTTTAAATGATAGTTTATGAGGTTATTTTAACAGAATCAACAACTTCAGGCGTAATTTAAAAGCCGCAAGATAAATTGGACGATTATTGGAAACTAATTCCAAACAACAACACGCAGTCTTTGAAATAACCACTGCTCAATCTAAGAGCTGGTTAAAAGAAGCGCACATTTTTTTTTTTTTTACACACATTAAGACCAAGACCTATTTTAACAGATCAACAAATGTTCAAAGACATATATGGTGATCCTTTAAAATTATATATTATATATGTATTATATATATATATATATATATGTATATATATATATATTATAAAGCCTTTAAACATAATAATTTGAAAGCGAGTTATGAAGTTAACATTAAATGGCAATATTTGTATAATATATCACAGATACAGATGAAAAATTATATATACACAGTGATGTTATGAAAAGCTGTGATACTGTGGATGTTGCCGAATACTCACAAACACACAAAGACTTTATAATTAACTGCATTATAGTATTTTAAAATATTACACATGAAAGCATGCTCACAAGTGAATTACAAATAATAATGATAATAATGCATGCAAATTCACTCATTAATGAGGACACACAATTGAAAGGATCCAAATCCACCGGGGGGGGGGGGGGGGGGGGGGGGGGATACCACACAAACACAGCACAACATTTTTGTTTTCACTAAAGATGTTAAAACAAAAATGGGCTGCATTATTTTTGTACATATTTTTTTAAAAAGGACCACATAATTTTGTGGGCAGTTTAACAGACAATTAACTGACACTGAGCGTTTACCACAAACTATCATTTCCTATTGCAAGGTGCAGCTGATTTAGTGTACTTTGTTGTTGTCCTGGGCTAAAATCACATCAAGGAAAAATATCGTTATGGGTGTACGCCTGCTGGGGCAATATTGTAACTAGATATTTGATTGCCAGTCCAAAGGTCTTGCCTGTAAATCCACATCCAAGTAGATTTTCATAATAGGCTTTGGCCTAAAAGTAATGAAATGAATCCAGGGGTAACTGCATTTGAGCTGATGACAATAATATCAGCTCAAATGATAAAGACTTTGGTCAAAATGTTTGGTTATATTTGTGCATGTTTTTTCTATTCTCTCCATTAAACTCCATTGATAAAGACTCTGGTCAAAACATTTGGTTGTATTTGTGCATGTTTTTTTTTTCTTCCATTCTTTCAATTGAACTCCACTGATAAAGACTGGTCAAAATGTTCGACTGCATTAGTGAATGTCTTTTCCATTCCTTACGCTGAGCTTTATAGTAACAATTTATGTTGTATTTAGGACACAACCTAAGATGGTTGCCAGAATAGTTACCAAAAAAAATAAAAAACGTTTTTCCACGCCTTCAATCCTATTGGCCATATAGAGCTAGACCTATAATTTATAGACCAGTTGGGGCTCGGTGGGTGATGTGATCAGCATCATGCATGCCACCTTTACTTCCCAGGACTGCACCTGGTACCCACTCAAGGCTGGGTCAACCTGGGAGCCAGGGTCATTTTTGAAGAAAGTTTGGTTCCGTCAGGACCCGAACGGTTATCAGGGTGTGACCTGGAAAGTAGAGGAGGTTGTGATTTTGATCATAATACCTACTGAGTGCTGACTAACCTTTAAATATATGGATCCAGCACCATATACCAGAAGATATAATGTCCTGAAAAGTGTCATTTACTCTGCTTGACCTCAAGGTTTAACTCAGACTCATAAAGTGGGCACATAACATCTTCCAGATGGTAAATCAGCTGATGTAGCTGCTGGCCACATGATGTATCACAGTGACTTCTGTTTTAACTTCACATTTTTGCTTCAAAGATTTATTCATTTTTTTTTCAAGTTGTGTCAATATTTTATCTATATTGAAGATGTTGAATAAATTCTTTCACTTGAACAATATTAAGGGAGCTGTGGTCATGTAGTGGACAGATGCTCCGCCTCTGCCCTGAATGTCCTTGGTTCGAATCCGCAGTCAAATGTTATCTTAAAAAAGAAAAGACGTTGGCTCACAGGCTCACCCAGCCTATAATTGGTACAAGTAAAGTGCTGGGAAGTACAGGTGGCAGGTGTGATGTTGACTGCATCGTCCATTGAGGGCTGATTGGTTTATAAAAATACAAGTCTAGCAGCATATGCCCGCTGGACAGCAGGCGTAAAAAGGGTCCTTACTAATAATATTTATAACTAAATGTAAGTGAAGGAAATTTCTTAGGGCACTGACATGCTGCTTGTATTGTGTTGCAGTTGGTCCCCTCCAGGTTTGAAGACCGCAGGATTAAAACATTTCAGGGATAAGAAACTTACATGTACAAATCATGGTAAGCCCTGTTTAGCTCACTTTTAGGGCCCCCTGATGTTTACGAAGTAATCTGAAATCCGGACCTTGCCAGGATGGGCTGGCATGTGATGCTAAACAATTTTGTTAGAGATCAACATCATGCAGACCGCCTTTGCTTTTTGGACATTTTCTGGTACCCATTTTAGGTTAGTCAACCTGAAAGTCCAGGATTTCTGTTTAAAAAGTCTGCCTCTATGTACATTTGAATAAAAGACCTACAGGCCAACAGACATATTTCTATCTAGCCATTGCCATAATGAGGCAAGCACTGTTATTGATAAGACTCCATATACAGCTATGTATGCTCTGTTGATAGTCTTCACGGAATCACAGGGTTCTCATCATTTACAGTCTAACAAAAGGATCCCTCTTTTTTAAACCATGTGAGATTGCAAGGTCAAATTAACTCTTTGAGTCCCAAGGAACGCATCATACGTTCACATGTTCCTACCTAGAAACCCAATGAACGCACGATGTGCCGATTTTATGACTCTCTTTACTATCCCCTGGGCCTGTGATTCGAAACCCCCTGGGACTCAGAGAGTTAATTAACTTTTGACTGCCAACATTTAAATTGTAATGTATTGAATATACGTGATGACATATGACTGTACAAAAGCAAATAAACCCAAACTGGTAAACTGGGGTTAATTACTGCATAAGTTCACAAAACAAGGGAAATAAATACAACAAACATATGTCAAACAGCATTACCAAACACTTGCTGCTACCAGTCTAAGAAGCCACAGCAATGCCACATGGACATGCAAACGGCCATCATTACCTAGATCTATCGGTCTTAAGTTCGAAGTCCACGTACCATGAGTACAATTATTAAAACAGGGACGAGTAAGGACTGGGCGAGTCAGTCCTTCACAGCTTCTTCCTGCCGGGTAGCCACTACCTTTCCAGACACAGGTCAGCATGCGTGTCTGGAAACCAGACTCCCCACACCCAGCCAAACACTGGAAATAAATGGTAATTCACAAGTTACTACTAGATTGCAAGTAACAACAGTGCAGACCTGATAAGGAGAACTCAGTGGGAACCCAAGCAATAGTTCTTCTTATCAGAAATTCCTTGTGTCCAGATAAGAGTTCAAACAGGAGAAATTACCCCGGATTAACAAATTGTTCTTTACTGCAGAAATTCACCACATCTGAGATCACCTAAGTGGTGTGCACTGGACTGTTTCAATATGAAGAAAAATGCTATTGAAGATCAATAAGTAATAAAGATGGCACATGAATGTACACTGTGTTTATTGTAGATATTTATTTCTATTTCTTATGCATACACTCTTAAAGGGTGGTTGATAAGATGTGATGTGGTTTACAGCTAGGCTGCAGTTTCTGCATCTTTTGGCTGAAACTTTCAATTAAGCAAGCTGTTAATTAGTCACCTTTTAGGACATGGTTGTTGAAGGATTGTGGGTTTGTTCTTTTGTTCCACCCAGAATGGGACCCTGGAAATCAGATGTGAACTACCTGAGAATTACAAAGTCACAAGGGTGCTACTTCAATGTGCTTGATGTATGTATTGTGAGTAATTATTTAACATTCATATTCAAGAAGTGAAGAAGTTAAAATCAAGAGTCTTGACTTCATTGCACCAGGTTTTATTCCATATGGCCCAGTCTCTCTTTGCAAAAAAAAAAAAACTACTTGCCATTGACAGCAGTGCACAAAGCATGAGCTCTGTAGCTCTAGCAACTATCCCCAGGACCCAGGAGTCTGTAAAAAAATTAACTCATGAACTGAGCAACACAGTTGTGAAATGAACCCACGACCATTAGAGAGCAAGGCAATAGGTCTGATTAATTCACCATGAAGACCCCCCCCCCCCTTCCCCCCTATTCCTGTGTGTATGTCATGGCCTATAATAAATGGAAGCCTAAGTGTTAACATCCCAAGGACAGTAACTGCCAATGAACTAAATTTACCTGTTATGAATGGTTAAATGGCTACACACACATGCTTCTTGATGCACACCTAAAAACTGAAGTTCAATTAAATTAACACGTCCCTGAAAAACAGACACAAGGTTTCCAGAGAGCGCCTTCAGATTCCTTTCTTCCATTCTTTAAAAACCCTCCAGGCAGCTCTCTAAAGGTCTGACCCCCCCCCCCCCCCCACACACCCCCGATTTTTAAAATCTTAATCTGGATGGCAAGCTAAAACGGTAAATCCCCAAAACCCCCATACAACCTACACAAAAAGATTATAATTAGGGAACTCATAAACCTGTTATGTAAATGCAAATGTGACTCTATGACAGATACTACAGTAGGGTATATGAAGTGTAAGACACACATAATCTAGACTGTTGCATATTGAAGTGTGGCTAGCTACATTCTTCACAATCTTCCTTTCCAGACAGTTACCAGACAGTTACCAGACAGTTGCCAGACAGTTACCAGACAGTTACCAGACAGTTGGCAGAAAATTCAAAACAATGTTTCCCCGTAGTGAACTTAAATTGTATTTCAGTGGGGTCTATTAATTTTTATGCTTCATTATATGTTTTATATAACTCTGTAGTAACGCACGTGACGAGATGCAGTGAAAGATGTCTAGCAATAAACAGTGCAGACTAAGAGTTTTGACAGTGCTGCCTATCATCTCTGCTAATGTAGTAACATGAAATCTCTAAACATAAAAAATAAATAACAGAGCATTCTGACTATAATTTCTGTGTGGCCTCCGGGACCCCATTGTAGGAAAAACAAGAGTGGACCCACTGCCTTCCCAACAAGCATGTGGTAACAGTCAACTAACTGGGAGCTTCCTACAAAGCTGGAGCGCATTTGCCTAAGTGGCAGTTTGTTTACAAATAAGTCAGACTGGTAAAATGGATATGCACACAACAGTCAGGTTCTGGAGCAAGTCTAAAGTCTACAGGTGGACAAATAGCCAAAACTTTCCGCCGGAGTTTACAGCCAGTGAAAATTAAAAAGAAGAAGACGGCATAAAACATGAATCAAACTACAGGCAGGTAGTGACCAACAACCCCCTCCCAAAAAACAATTGTGAGAAATACAATATGTATGTAATGTTTGAAGCACGGAAAGACTTTAAAACAGTTTTTAAAAGTGCACACCTGAAACATGTCCAACAATAACAATATTACCTAAATAACTATAACACCTAATTTTATCTGTAAGATTAGATTAAATGACACATTTTTGAATAGGCAAAATTAAGAGGATTTCTAACCACACACCATACCTCTGACCAATGTGAAGTATTCCAAAGAGGTCGACATGATGGATTTCTACATTCCTTTTTAGACAGGGGTCGGGAGGTCGGATCACACAGCTTTTCACTAACCAGTTTTGAGCTAGATTCTGTAGCACAAGCTACAGTTCTTGTTTTGTATGAGAATCCTTCTTTTACACATTTGTGTTCCAAGCACTGAAAATTAACAATTACAACTATGTTTAACCTATTGTTATAAGAATGAATCAACAAAGTTTTTTTCCAAGGGTTACAAATAATAATTCATGTCTGCACACATACACATAATATTAAAAGAATGAAAGCATTAAATAATAAAATAGCGCTTTGTAATTTCATAAATATTTTCTTTCATGACCCTTGACAAATAAAAACTGAAAATTAACATAGTTTAATTTAAATATATAGTGATACTTTCCACAGACTGCCTCTTGACACGATTTGCTGTAGGACGAAAACTCTTTTCTTTGTCTGTAATGCATATACTAAAAGTTTAAAGGACAAAAGGATTGACTCCACTGAACAAAGTTGTATCCTATAAGGCTCAGTCTCTCTCAGCTGAACAGCTAGCTGTCTGTGGAGAGCATGACATATAGTATGAACACCAGCTCTTGCACAATGATTTATGAAACTTAACCTCTGAGCCAGACTACACTGTCCAAGAAATGAGGTTCCATAATAAACAGCAATGGAGACTGTTCAAGAGAGGTCGAAAAAGTGGATAACCATAGCAACACAAATATAATAAATAGCAATAAAAGTATATGGTTAAGCACCAATTAAGTCAAAATTTTGAAAGCATGCATCCTCCCTGTAGCAATATATGGTCATGTGAGTCATAAACTATCCTGCAGTCCTTAAGGAAAGATGAAGGGGTGTTTGATCTGAAATGCTATAGAAAGATTCTTAGAATATTATGGACAAAGAAGAAAAAAAAATACTGACATTCTAAAAGATCTGAGCATCTAGGAAGACTGGCTAATAAACAGCTTCTTGTCTCGAAAGCCTAAATATTTTGGCCATATCAAATGTCATGGCTGGCTGGAACCAAATAATAGCAGATGGCATGGTACCAGGAAGGAAGTGCAGGGACCAGCAAGCACAAAGATGGCACAGAATATAAGTGACTCCTTGGGTATGAAAGTTCATGAGGTGGGAGAGTTGATGAAGATAATTATTGTTGCTCATTTAAACAAAGCTTGCTCACCTATACCACTAGCAAATTATTGGAAGAGGGGGGTTTTCAAAACTCTTATTAGTGCTAAATGGCAAATAAAAAAGAATATATTTGAAATTACATTAAATTATTAAATAAATACTTAAAAACATAATGTCTATAAAGGGTTAGGGGAAGGGGGCTCAAGGTGCATGACACCCCAGTTTCTGACACCTATGCTCACAACCTCCACAGCACAAGACAAATGGCTTTACCAACTAGCCATGAAAACACCCATTAGTTTCTAAAAATGTTTCTTAGGACTCTAGAACTACCTTACAGGAGGTATAGCATAAACATTATGAGTTGCTAGACTGTATATCTAGGTAATTTTTAATCCCTTAAAAATCTAAACCATTTACCAAAGAAAATTTGAAGAAACAACTGTTGCTTCCAAAGCCGGTGTGTGTGTGACACTGAATCATGATTTTCTACAAGAAACAGGATTACATGGAAAGGATATCAGACATAGTTCTTGGAACAAGAAGCAACTGTTGCTTCCAAAGCTAGTGTGTGTGTCATACTGAATTATGATTTTCTACAAGAAACAGAATTACCTGGAAAGGATATCAGATATAGTTCTTGGAACAAGAAGCAACTGTTGCTTCCAAAGCTGGTGTGTGTGTCATACTGAATCATTATTTTCTACAAGAAACAGAATTACCTGGAAAGGATATCAGATATAGTTCTTGGAACAAGAAGCAACTGTTGCTTCCAAAGCTGGTGTGCGTGTCATACTGAATCATTATTTTCTACAAGAGACAGGATTACATGGAAAGGATATCAGACATAGTTCTTGGAACAAGAAGCAACTGTTGCTTCCAAAGCTGGTGTGCGTGTCATACTGAATCATGAAATTCTACAAGAAACAGAATTACATGGATATTAGACATAGTTCTTGGAACAAGAAGCAACAATTTTATAAACACTAGTACACAGGACAGAATGCTCTTGATGGAAATGATGGCTAGGAACACAGATTGGTGTTTGGACTATGAGGAGAAGTAATAATATCCACTGACAGAACCTATTCAAAATTTTACTGCCAGTATTTTCTTCTTATTCTTCTTCATGTTCACCAGCTGTAAACTTAAACGGAAAGTTATGGTTCTTCATCCATTTCTGGTCTTCAGTTTTGTTCCAGAACTTTAGTTTTGCATGTACATCAATTTTACAGGTCTGGCTTATTTGAAGGCAGACTGTTTATTTCTCGCCTATTAGGTAGATGCACTGCAGCTTTGAAGGAAACACCCAATATTAGTTGATTCTTGTAATGTGCTCTTTTGGGGGCAGTGGGTCTTTTCTTTTCTTTTTCCTTCTGCAAAGGAGCTTGGAACCTACATGGGAGCCAGTATTCTCAACACACAAAAATCAACATCACCACACAAAAAGAGAACTCCTGTATAAAGTTACTTACTGGTGACCAATCTTTCATCACCCATCTTGTGCATGGAGATGCTGAGCACTTCTCTACAGCAGCTGGTATTTTTATCCCAGCATGTTTGCAAGTCTTTAGCTGGAAAACTTCAAAATAATTATTGGTTATAATTTCACAGCTGATCTTCCTCTTTTGGACTCCAGTACCACATGTTGTAGAGCAGGTAGACCAGTTGCCCACAACCAGCTGAAGTGGCCGTTTTTGTTTGTCAAAGGGATCAATAGTGGTGGATAAATTACCATTTTTTGCTTCATCTGCCAAGAAGCCCAACAGATATTTCTCTCTTTGTAATGTCTCCTGCAACAACAACAAAATAGAAAACATTACATTTACATGCATTTTTCTATTCCACTTTAACATGCATGATAATCGAAAATTTATAATTCTGTTTTGATATAAAATTATCCCTGTGCGGCTTCTTTGTCCCTAATGTGAAGAAAGAAAGAACAGACCAGACCCCCCCCCCCCCCCCCCCAACAATTGTTTTTCTCATAAAAGCTGACTAATTAGGATTTTGCTGATAATGGATGTGTTGGGCTGAAAGAAGCAGACAGGTATCACAGCCTTGTCAACTGCACTTTTAAGGATGAATACAGAAGAGTAAAGTGATACTCAATATGATATGATGCTAGAAAAAACAAATGTTACAGAGAAAATGAGAAACACATACAAATTTAATCAGATGATTATAACATTCAGTAACACAGGCCCTATATTGATGTTCAAAATTTCAAAAGTAAAAGCACGTTCTTTGATGAAATCTTAAACACAGCTGGTTTGAAAGCATCAAGACTATATTATATACGTTTTTAGAATAATATTAGCACATAATTTATCAATTTATTTAATAAAAACACTAACAATTTTTTTTAAAAATAACCCAGTAAATTATAAATATGTAAAAGTTTGAGCTTTGTAAATGACAGTGATACCTGTATAATTGCATAGAGGTCAGAAAAGGCTATCTGTAATGACGCCCTTTTATGTTCAGCTATGCAGGTGTATGTTCCTGTGTCTTTGTCTGGTCTACTTCTTCTGATTCTCAGGTTACCCCTAAAGATATAAGCAATAAAAACACAAATTTAAAAAAAAACTATGAATAAATTAATTTACTAAAGAAATAAAAAAATGGTAGGTAACGAATCTGTTTCGATACTGTAAGACTGTAAGGGATATTTGGATATATTGTGCTAATAATATTTGTATGAACTAAACTTGAATACATTAGACTTCCCATTACTTTCTTAAGTTATAGAAACAAGGAGTTCCAAGGAGCAAGATCTGGGAATTATAAATGGTAACGAAGCAATGGAATGTTTTGTTTAATTGAGTCAGATTTTTCAGCTGACCTGGGCTCGTATTTCAACTCAGCCTAAAATTATAATGTGAGTACAGTGCAGACCACTTAAGGTGATCTGAGATATTGATTTCTGTTGTAAAGAACAATTTGTTTATTCCTGGAAACTTTTCTTGCTTGAACTCTTAACTGGATAAGAGGAATTTCTGATAAGAAGAAAACTTCTGGGGTCCCCTGTGAGTTGTCATATTCAGGTCTGCCCTGTACTAGGAAAATATCAAGGAAAGCAGTGGCAGCTAGTCTGATGATAACTTCAAACATCATTCACTCACTGCTGATTATTCTATAAAATTATGGGGCTAGCATCATATGTCCAGACACCAACAAGCTTGTTGCTACATTAACCCTACTCAAGTTCATTTAGTACTATAGCTTTCTCTGTTCAACAGATTTATTTGAATTCCTTTGGTTGTAACATTTATAAGTAAAATTAATAAGTAGTGCATACTGAGTAAGCTGAAGTAACAATTGTCTGGGATTCTCTTCACGTTCACTGGCTTTAATCTCCGGCAGAAAGTTATGGTTGTTCGTCCACCTCTGGACTTTAGTCTTGGTTCAGAATCTCAGTGTTGCATTCGAATTCATTTTACAGATCTCTTAGGCAGACACTCTCAGACTTTGAAGGAAAACTGTCTGGGACAAAAAAGGTAATGACATAGAAAAAGTAGTGTCATAGTAACAGCAGAAATATGACATGCCTTGTGGAAACTGTAACTCGATGTCCTTGTCGAATTGGCCTTTCATCTTTGAGCCATTCCACTTTCTTTCTGTTCATACCAGTGACTGGACATTTGATAATGACGGACGTACCAGGCAAAATTGCAGCATCTGTGCCAACCACCAGACGAACCTTTAATGTGTGGAAACATGTAATAAATTATTAGATAAACAACATTATATAATAAAATGTAGTGTTATGTTATCATAATTACGATTAATTATAATGCACAATGAGGATTCCAAACTATGCTCAGTCCTCCAGTGCAGCAGGCCAAGGTACCTCTAGTGTCTGTTCCTATGAAAAGTTGTTACAATGTCCCCTATCCTCACCTTGAAGATGGCATAGCTGTGCTTTAACACACTTTACAGCCAGTGACAAAATATAACACTTAATAAACAAAAGAATTACAAACCTTTTAAACTGTAAATAAAAATAAGGAAGATGCGAGATAAATGTAATAATAAGGAAACTAATAATACGCATAGCTTACTACAGAGGATGATTTTTAATCAATAAACAAGATATAAGTGAAGACAACTAAAGGATGTCTGAACTGCACAAAGCTACCAAAATCAGACCACACCAAAAACTTAGTTAGTAATATGGCATAGCATTTATGAGTAATCTACTATTATCTTTTGTTTTAGGTATTTTGCTACCATCTCAGTTATTCCTAGGATGCCTATGTTGTTAATCTGTCTCTCATTTTTCTGATTCATTTTTAGAATTCTGTTGAGTTTTGTCAGCGTCTGTGGCTTGAGGAGTGCCTGTTTTGACCCCAACTGTCGATGATTTGGTAGCAGACTGACATTTTTTTTTTTTCAACAGTGGTATCAAGAGCTGACAATTCAGACAGCAACAGCAAACTAAAGAATGTAAAATTGCCAAGTGAAATCACAAAACAACCAAACAATGCTGAGGCTGGTTCTGCAATATCTTGTAAAGGAAACACAAATAACGTTTTTTTTTTATTTTTTTTTATTTTCTTCTGCAAATATAAGCAATTCTCTGTTATCTTTTCATATCAGCTCACTATTATTATGGACTGGGAATAGGTCATTGAGGGAAAATATAGTTGGGCTTTATGTAACTATAGTTTACATGATGGACCTACAATTTTGTAAAACAGTTTTCATGTACAATAAAAACAATTTATTTTATTTTAAAAAAAAAACAAAAACAAAACTGCATAGCAATTTTACTGAATCTGCAAAAGCTTGAAATTTGAATTACTCCTTACAGATTTTTATAATTCTGGTTAGATTTTTACCACTATAACATTTTTTCAAAACATAAGTTACATTGATAGGTTAGTTTTTTATCTTTTAAATCTGTCCACAACAGAGAATTTAATACATGACAACCAGGCTGCATAAACACATACATATGCTCAGGGAATGGGGCCAGTATAATACTATATCAGAGTAGATTAAAAATAACCAGGGAAAATTCTAATTAACATAGTAAATGAAATACAAACAAGAAAATATACAAACTTTGTCAAGCTGGTTGATCTGAAAAAACTTCATATGCTTCTCCTTAATTTGAACCTCTGGACATGCCAGCATAATGCTATATCAGAGTAGATTTAAAAAAAAAAAACTAGGAAAAATTCTAATTAACATAGTAAATGAAATATAAACAAGAAAATATACAAACTTTGTCAAGCTTGTTGATCTGAAAAAACTTCATATGCTTCTCCTTAATTTGAACCTCTGGACATGCAGTCACATTACATGGTCTCTCTGCCTCAGGTTTCTCACCAGGTGGACAGTGGTACTCATCTACGTCTACAGGTTCTCCATCAGTGGTCACTCTTTGGCAAACCACAGGGCGAAGTTCCACGCCATGTCCACAAGTCACTGAGCACTGGAACCAAGAAAGTATCCTTTACGATCACCCATTTCTGAAAAAAACTAAGCCAATTAGGCAAAACTAAAAATCTAAATATCGCAGACGCAAGCAACCACATTGCACAATACATTGCATGACATTTTTTATTGTATCTCACATATTTAAATTCAACAAAAACTTTGTTTTTAATTTAAAAATCGACAGCAAAAGGGCACACACACAAAGATCAATTATAATACAGTTTACCAAGATATAAGCAAACTCAAAGCTTCAAAATGGATACAGATTGTTAAATTATCCGTAACGTTACACACATAGGAGTCAAGCCCATAAAGTGAACATGTAGTAGAAGTAGTAAAATTTATCCTACCAGGACATCACACAAGCGATAAACACCAAGTGACACAAAGTGCCACCACATGGATTAGGATCACCCGTGGAAAGGTCCCAGAAACCGCGTTCAGCCATTAGACCATATTTATGGTCGGGTTATATTGCGGCTCCTGGCTATAGCCAGGGTGGGGCTTCAAATAACCAAAAAAATTGCATTCAGCAAGGGGATGACTGCTTAAGGAATAGCACAGTGAACATGTCAATGTGAATTAGAATCAGACAAAAGAACATGATAACAAAATAAATGCGCTCTATAGAAAATAATTCCTAAAGACAAACATATCAGCTCTGCAACAAACAAAAAAATATTACAGAAGAATAATAATGCTCGGGGCAAATATTATTTTGTACAAAAACATTTTTATCTGCAACATTATTTCTTTTGTGTGTTTTTGTTTTGTTTTGGTTTTGGTTTATTTATGTTTCCCAGCCCAGAAAGAGAGTTACTTCCCTTGCCATTCATGCCTAATCAGCTCACAGGAGCTCTCTTATGTGGGGGTTTTATGATATGGCTTGGCATATATCTTATTGGGAGATTGTGCTGTGAGGCTATTTCCCCCCCCCCCCCCCCCCCCCCCCCCCGAGAAAGAAAGCATTAACAAAGAATGTAGGAATAGAAAAATATCGCTGTTTCCAAAGTTCCGAACCATCGCGCAGGTAGCAGAATATGAAAATAATCACAGAAGCGAGCAACGAGAAGATGAGAAAAGAGGGAATGGTTGAAACGTGACAATAAGGAAAACATGACAACCCCGCAACATAGGAGAAGTCCTGTGACCCGATGTGTGAATGGCAAGGGAAGGCACCTCTCTTTTTGGGCCAGGAAATGTAAAATGAACCTTTGTTTTGTTTAAATAGACAACTCTTAAAAAGCTAATTAATTGTATCCTAGCTGTAAACCACAACACAACATGTAACCACCAAGCAAATGAAAAAAAAATGTAAATGGAAAATGGGGAGTAGCTGAGATAATTTTATAAACTTTCACAGAACAAATATTTATAAGACACTGACAAATTGTTCTGGCAGTATCTAGAGGTCCCTAGCGATTTGTCATTCCCATGTGGGAATTTGAAGCCCCACCCTGGCTTATGACGGGGGCCCTGAATATAGCCGGGCCATAATTATGGCCTAAACGGCTGAAAGGAGTTTCTGGGACCTCTCCACGGGTGATCCTCATCCGCATGGTGGCACTTTGTGTCACCGGATGTTTATCACTTGTGTGATGTTCTGGTGGGATAGAACTTACCTGTCTAGAGACCATAGAGCTATCCGGCTTGTTTTGAGAACAGTGTCTACTATGACTATGTGAGAGTGGAAGTCTCAGCCACAAAGATAACATAAAAATTGTGACACTCTATTATGCTGTGACTGATTTGCTTTCTTTCTCAGAAGTCTCCGTTTTATAGCCTGTTGCATTAGGTCTCTTGCAAAGTATGACTGTCTGCGTCTATAGGAGTCAGTCTGCAGCTAATCTCTCCCAAAAATCTGTGTCAATGTTGTTATCTTTCAAGTCATGATTTCAGATGTCCTTAAAACAAAGCTTTCGCCTTCCTGCAAATCTTTTCTGTTTTCAGTTAACTATATGGAAGATCCTTTCGAATACACGACTTTCATTTATGTGGCAGAAGACATATACCAGCCAGCACAGGCCTCTTTGCTTCAGTAAAAATTACTTAGTCGTCATTCCTCCTCTTTTGTGTACAAATTCATTGGGAACAAGACAAAGTCTTTCCATGATATGCTAAGAACGTGTCTCATACAGCACATGTGGAAAGTATTCAGTCTTTTTTCTTGAGAAGCATACAGAGTCCAGTTTTCACTGCCGTAGTGCTCAGGACAAACTGTAGCTGAACTTAAACATACCAGGACTGCTAAATTAAATTTGTAATAATGGGACTTGCCTCAGACCAAAACCCAGAGGCCCAGTTGGCAGGGCAAAGCTGTGTGTTGCATTCTCGAACTCTTAGTGGGATAGGGTGCTCACACATGACATCAGGAAGGTTCAAGACCCGATCAAGAACAACGTCAACTTGCTGGATACACCTTACATCTCGGATCATCACACCACCACCACATGTGGTAGAACACTCACCAAAGTCCCCAATTCGCCATCTAATATGATATGAGAGTTAAAAAGGTATTTAAAGTGTTTATATGGGGAATAAATGAATAACATTATTGAAAATTAATCTCAACTCTTCCAGTAAAAAATATACTTAAAGTGTCTGTGTGGGTGAATAGTTAATAACATTGTAGAAAACATATTAATATTAAATTAATATTACCTCTTAAGAGTACCAAGCAAAGAAGAAAGAAAGAAGAAGAAGAAGAAGGACATTTTCAACAACAATTTTTGAACTGTTTATTGATGATTATATTTTAGACATAAGAAGTATTAAATAACAGTTTAAATTTTAAAAGTAACTTGTGAATGGAAGAAAATGATACTTATAGAAAGAAATTACCATTAACTTATCAAAGATAAGTGACAAGTGCTGGTGCAAACAACTGCAAGTACTTTCTGATGTGACTTGTGATTTCTAAGGTTCACAGTATTAAAAAAAAAATATCATGCATCACGTGTTGTTTTAGACTTAAATAAAAAATATGTATAATACATATTTACATGTAATGACCCTGCTTTGCATGGTCCTCACGATTACATAGTGGCAAGCAGAAAGTCCGTGCAACAAGGGACAGCACGAGATACTTGTGCCTAGTCGAGGAAGCGAGGGAAAGCCCGAGCTAGCCTCGTGGTCAGTCGATCATCAGAAGTCAGAGAAGACGGTTGTAGTATTTGAAGATGTCGTCTTTATGTTGCGCAAATGGTTAGTGTTGAATATGTCGCGAGTGATAAAGTGTAAATAATGTTTGAACATGTGAAATAAATGGACGAGAATAAACTGACAGAATGTACCAAGAAGCTGAGCGGCGTTTGTGCTGTCAACCCTAGATGTTAAAGCTGGTCTACGTCAAGATTCATTACAAATGGAGGCCCGTCCGAAGAAAATTTGAGAACCACACGGACCACAATCATTAGGAAAACATTTTTGTTTCGTCTAAGGTAAGACAAACATGCGGAAAACAGTGTACGATACATCGCTTTAACCCGAGCAGAGCCTTTAAACACAGCAAGCTGCGACAGGTCAGCTGCCAACCAATGAAAAACATCGTACCATGGAACACACGCGAACATAGTTGTGTGTCATCAACGTCCTGCCTGCCACCACACATCATATTACCAAGGTTTGTGGATTCAAGAAGTTTCATGTTCACCAGTGCTACACATCAGAAATATGTTAAATCTAGTTTATGAATTAAATCAGGTTTGTGACCATTATTGTTTCGCGGAAACTAGCGGACTATGAACTAATTTTATTTACAGTTACGATCAGTTTTCTTACTGCGGTGACATTTTTTGCATCGATTGTGCGTTTATGAGAATGGCATCTAAAAGGTTAGTAAAACATAAGAACACTTTGTCGCAAGTATCTTCAGCGACAACAATGAAAGATACATCGATAAGTAATCAGAAAATCAAGATGTGCATTTTTTGTAAGTACCAGCACAGTTCTTCAACTATCTGCGATAGAGATCCTAAATATTCAAGCTATATTGAAGACTTGGTCAATAAAAAGTGGCAAAATAAACAAAACAACAACCCTAAAAAATGCCATTTTTGTTCAGCATTCGGACATATTGTAAAACACTGTGTTGGGAAACAGATGTTAAAAGACAAGAAAAGATCCTGTTATGCAAAAACTAAGCAAAAAAGAATGGATTCAGAAGCTCTTACGTTACCTACTCAAGATTGTGCAGTATGCGACTGGAGGAAAAAACAGGGAAAAACAACAGAGCCTCATACAATTTGGATAGGAACATACCAAATAATATGTCCAGGAACTAAAAAGATAAAGAACGAAATCATCATTGCAGAATTAGAATCCAGCAAAAGCAATACGAGCAACAAAAGTGAATCCAAAAAGACAACAGCCACTGAAACAGAGAAAAAGTCAAACTCAGAAACAATGAAAATTAATCAAGCAAAGGATATCACTGTTCCAACAATGACATCAGTCGAGACAAAAGAAACTCAATGTATGAAACAGCCAGATTGTGAAATACCACTAGATAGACAAGCCATGAATAAAGAATTTTCATTCTTAAAGGACAATATAGACATACCTTATGATCAATTACACATAGCAACAAGTAAAAAATATCGTGAAAAGTCAACTAAATGTTTGATAAACAACAAACCAGCCCAAATGCAATTAAATAAAAAAACAAATATCACGTTGGTACGTGACAAATTTATAGAAAGATCAGATTATAGCGGAGAAATGATTTACAGTTTTGACAAAGAAGGTGAATGGACGCGATTCCGGATAGCTTATATTTATTTGAAGTCGCCCTATATATCAAAACCATTGAAAGTAGTGGTAATGAACGACATCGGAACAGATGTGATTCTGGGATACAAAGACTTCAACATTAGGGACTGTTCTGATGAAGACATAAGAGTCTGGGAACAAAGGCATCTCCATCAACAAAAATAACAGCTGATTCAAGGAAAATTACCATATTTATTTATGAACTGAAGTATCACTATTTACTAACTTGAAACCACACAGCCTATCATCCTGAACATCAACATCAATCTAACATATCACCATGCATGAAGCTCAATATTATCACCAGTCAAGAACCTACATAGAACCACTGGCAACCATACGACCAAGAGTAAACCTAAACGATCATCAGGAATTGATACTTTACCATTCTTACCTTCAAGATTGTCTTATTTCAACCAAACAATCAAGAGTAAACCTGAACAATCATCAAGAATTGACAGTTTATCATTCTTCATCTTCAAGATTATCAAATTTCAATCAAAATCAGAAATCACCAACCAGTACTGTACAGTGAATGAACAGAACCATATCAGCCACTGAATTATTCAAATTTGAAAATCACTATCAAGGAACAGAAATCATTTTCTCCAGATACCTCAAAATCGACCATTGAAACATTTCAAAATCATCAAATTCTACGCGACACTTCAAGAGCATCTATACAATATCAAGATCGTCGAATACCAAACGTATCATAAAATAATGAATGCGAGAATAATGAAGCATTCCTACAGTTTAAGCACAATCAACAGCCACAAAAATGTCAGTATTACATCGTGCGTACACAAATATTAATTCTGAAAGTTAATCAAGTTAATCTAGTGTTGTGTAAATATCAAATTAATGAAGTATTTTAAAAAAGTGCATAAACACCTGATTTCATTTATAAAAAGCAGCCACATACTGTGTGTATTGAACACCTTCCGTTTAATCTCATTACTAATTATTTTAAAGGTGGCATATTAGTGTATACAGTCACTGAACAATGATAATAGTATTGTGTTAACTTATAAAATTATAATATTTTTAGTCAGTAGATTTCCAAGATTACCAGCTATCCTACCATGAAAGACCCAAGAGCAGAACAGACTGTCGAGGGAACCAAGGAATGAGAACCTGGAAAGCAAGCGTCAGAGTACAAGCAAGACATACACAGCCTGCAGGGATGGACAAGATCAAGGATAGTTAATGGAATGAATGGGAATGAAAGAGAATAAAACAGGTATGAATGATGAATGAAAGATTTGTGGGTAGTATTTTAATAGTGTACATATTTACTTAGGTTAGTAGTTCATTAGGATTATTTTAGGATTCATGTAATGACATTAGTTCAAAAGTTAGGAAAAAAAAAAAAAAACTCTCTCCCCAGGAACAGCACAGAAGAATTAGATCAAGATTTAGCGATAGATCATAAAGAAATCTATTTCCACAGAATGACTTTGATAAAAATATTTAATTTGAAATGTTTTGGCATAGGTACACAGCACAGGGACATGCTAAAGTTGTCCATCACACCCAAGATTAGGAACGGCTATAGTTATACTGATGCTGAATAGACATACTGATGGTAAAGAAAAAGTGCACACATCAAAGCACAAGCACAGTAGAGGAGTTGAACTCATCTGTATCCATTTAAAGGGGGAAAAGGTGTGTGGGATTCCTTGGAGTTGAATACTCTGTTAAAGGTGATGTAGAGACTGGTGGGGAAACCCTAAACTCTATTAAAAATCATCCCAATAGTCATTTCATCTGAGATTCCTTGGAGTTGAATACTCTGTTAAAGGTGGTTATAGACTTGGAGGAAACTTTAAGATCTATGAAAAATATATCTCAGCTATCATTGTTTTCATGTTAGATTCCTTGGAGTTGGGTAATTACTCTGTGAAAGGTGAGACTTTGGTCTATGAAAAAAATATCTCAACATGCATTTTTTTTTTCTGTGGTAGATTCCTTGGGGTTGGGTATACCCTGTAAAAGGTGTTATAGAGCTTTTGGGAAACTAGAAGCACTATGTTAAATATATCTTACCACTATCATATCGGCTAAGAGTCCTTGGGGTTTAACACCCTGTGAAAGGTGATGTAGAAATATTGGTTAAATCCAATTTTCTATGTAGCAAATATCTCAAAGCTGACAATCATCTCACCACTATCATATCGGCTAAGAGTCCTTGGGGTTTAACACCCTGTGAAAGGTGATGTAGAAATATTGGTTAAATCCAATTTTCTATGTAGCAAATATCTCAAAGCTGACAATCATCATCACTATCATCATTTCACTTTGAACCTGATAGATTAGATATAGTGACTAAACAATACTACAGATGCAATAGGTGTAAAGATGGTATAAACTCTTCACCAGCTCAGTACAGGGAAAGCATGCAGTAAATACTGAAAGCAGTTTTAAAGGGCAGTAATTAAGGATAATCAGAAACCATAATTCCTAGCAGTAATACATTTAAATTGATTTATTATTCCTGTAGTAAATATCTCAAAGTTGACCATGATCATCACCATCATCACAATGATCATTTCACTTGAACCTGATAGAATAGATATAGTGACGAAGCTATACTACAGTTGCAATACGTGCAAAGATAGATACCCTTCACCAGTTTAGTACTAGAAAAAGCATACAGTAGAACA